AATTTTTAAACTTTCAAATAATAAAATATTTAAATTTGTTGTAATTTGATAGCTTAAACCGATTATGGAATTTAGAAAATGTTACACTTTTTGATATTATTTCCTGACTTTGGAGTAAAAAATATAAATGAAATGGAAAATACAATAATAATACAGTTAAGCTCGTTTTATTATAGTTATTTCTATATTGCACTCATACAATTCAATTGCTGTCAAATGTTTAATGAGCAGTATAAAATAATTTCGCTATTATTAATTAAAATTTGTCACCTCTTATAATAGTTTCAACTATTACTTTTCCTCGGTTCGATTTATTACAGCTAATGTGCAGATCAAAAAAGAAATAAATAGATACATAAACTAATATAAATTTATAGAAAATAAAAATTCCAAACTCATATCTTAATACTAGTAGCCCTATTAACAAAAAAATAAATCTTATAATTCATAAGAAACAGCTTGTCTTACTGCACGTATTCCCTTAATATTGAAAATTTCGAATTTTCCTCACAAGCCCATAATCGAAAAGTATACTCTAACCCCTATTAATATAATAATCACTAATAGAGAGTAATTATTTACTAAAAGAAAGATCCTTCGGTCAGTACAAATTGGAAAAGGACCAAATAAAGCCCTAATGATAGGATTAGTGCAACCATTCATAGATGCCATCATGTATATGTGTTAGTAAATAACTTGATAGCATCTTTGAATGGCTGCACCAATCCTATCATTTGGACTTTATTTGGTCTTTTTGGATAGAATCGTAAAATAATAGCAAACTTGTAAGATATATATTGCTGGCGTTATCCATAGAAAATTCTTTTTTTGGTTTAGAAATTGCTCATTCACGTGTTAAGCATTATCCTAAAAAATATTTTAAAAATATCGTGATTTGAACCGATAACCGATTTGAACGGCCACTTACTAAATATTTTAATTTTCTCTATTTATATCATCAAAAGTTTGACATTTTAAAAATAATTGAATCGACTAGCTTTTCTCATCGAGATCCAATCTCCAACTCAAAACAAACTATTAAAAAATTGGCGCAATAGCAAATAAGATAAAATTTCCATTTATGAACAATATTTTGACTCACTTTTTAAGTATTTTATTAGTGTTCGAAAATATCATATTATCAAATATAATTGGTTCTAATAAATTTTTAATGCTTCAGAAATAAATCATTTCAATATTAAATAAATTATATACCCTATCCCCCTCTCCTTACCTCCTTAGTATATTTCAGGCTGCTTAGTATTTTTATTAGAATTTTTTAAATATTTTAGCATTATCCTAAAAAGAAAAAAAAAAGAAAAATGAAAGCACGAAAAAAAAAATAAAAATAAACAGAATAAATAATTTTAAATAATAGCCGTTAATATTTCAAATTATTATATAATTTATAAATCATAATATTGTTTAAATGTCTGATTTCCTTAAATATTTAATGCCCGAATTTAAAAAATTTTTTTTGGCCCTGCCAAGTATGTTTGTAATTTTTATAGCTAATAATAGCGATTTCAAATATTCAGTTTTAAAATATACGGCCCTTCCCGACTATATTAAAAAAAATTAAAAACGGTACTGTCGGTGAATCCGGGCATGGCTTAGAGCTGGGTTGGGCCTGCCGTTCATAGAAATCTTATAAAATCTGAATACGTATTTTTACAAACTTGTCTTTTTAAAGAAAATATATAATTTTAAATATGTTTTTTCTCCAAATCTCACTATTTTCTCGATTAACCTTCAAGGATAACATATTGTTGCCAAATCGATGATTATTATTGTCAAAAATTATGATCCAAAAATCTCTGCAAAGAATATTACAAAGGCAAACAATTTGCAATAACTAATTTATCTTGACTTATAAAATTCGTTTTAATAAAGTGTTTTTTTTAAGAAAATATGTATATAATTTTTTGGGTAGTGTTGATTTGTTTAAATGACTTGTGGTGTTTACCCAACCAAGGAACAGCTGCTACTGGTAATAAATATAAATTTTTTATTCGCTATCTACAATGACTATAAAGATAGAGGCGAATAATTTCATGGATTTTCTTTTTATAAACCAAATATTTAGATTAATAGATAGAACATTTCGACTAAGTACGAAGATAAAAAAAAATCTTTTCTAGGATATTTATGTCTTCGTTCTTCAGATTCTTAGAATCTTTCAGAATTCGTTATTCACTTTTTTTAATTTATTATATATTATTTTTTTTTTAAAGTGAGTTCTAACTTAAAATTAATTTCTTTAAAAAATCTGAAGATAAGTGTCTTCCATTTCGATGCCCCATGTGGTGCCCAAGTGGTTACCAGTTAAATGCACAGGAATGCCATATTTGCCGTTGCCTAACAAGTTCGAAATTTATTTTACAATTTTTGATTAAATAACCCAAAAGTTTTCGAGTTATGGGTAATCTCATTCATTTTATTTTTCCAGGGCATCCACTGAGGCATCCAATAGTAACACTGAGCCCTCCAATAATATTAAGAACTCCTCTAACCTTAAAGACTCCAAGAACACTGAGACCACCTATAATGCGGGATCCGTTCTGGATGCCGACCAGCTTGCAGAAGAAACGTTAAGATTTTCAATAAACTGTTTGTGTCTAGTCTCTAAGTAAAATTTATATTTTTTTTGTTTTTAAATCACGTGTAAATTATTATTATTTTTTATTATATCCAATTATTTAATTGTTTTTCCCTCCATCTTATATGTTTTCTTTTAAATAATATAGTTTTTATATATATTAATGTTTAATATATTTTAAAATAAATAAAAATTTAAGTTGGATTTTTTAAAAAATAAAATAAGTATTTAGGGGAAATCATTATAGTGACTATAAAAGATGAATAAATATTATTAGATGTAAATGTATTAGGCAAAAGCTATAAAATATTATAATTTAAAGTTAAATATATGGAAAAGTATTGTTTTGAGTGGGAGGAAAGGGGGGGGGGCTTTAATTAATTCATTTGATGAATTGAATTTCTTTCCTCATAATGTTAACTAAAATAATACAAATCAATTTTTAGTTATAATTTTATTAAAAACAAATTATTTTTACATATAAATTTCTTCTATATTTGATATATTGAATAATTTTCGCAATATTTAATTTAATTTAACTTTAGTTGAATGTTCCCTTAGAAATTTTGCATAAGAGGAATAAAAACATGGAAGAAAAATTTTATTTGTACAAGTTAAATTTATTTTGTTATAAATACATTATATATATGATTGAATCGATAAATAAAATATATATGGAAATTGGAGTTATTTTATTATTATCTTTTAAATACGCATAATCAATTCCAGTGATATATGATTACAAAAATTAAAATAAATTTATTTTTGATTCTCCTATGGATGCTCAAGGTTAACTCTTGTTTCTAACCTTTTGATAATGTGAGGTCATTCCGTTAAATTCCAGTCAATTTTATGATGGCTAAGAATATGAATTTTATTGTATGTTGAGTTGCATAATCAGGAAAATAAACATTTTTGATTTATTTTGAAATTATTCCAATTTTATATTTAAATACATAGAACTTAATAAAAATATTTAAAAGTTTTTTGGCTTAAATATTTTACATTAATGATTTATCAAAATATTTATTAAGAATTTTCACAATTGCAAAATTCCAGTAATTTTGCATTCAACTCTCAAAAAATACTCTCAGCCGAGGGCATCCAACAGGTGATCCACTAGGATCCCTTTTATTTTGTCTTGCAATCAATAATACCATTCAAACCGTTAATTCAGAATGCACTCTTTCACTCCACGTCTGATATATGGACGTCGGAATTATTAGTGGACCTCAATTAATGGGATGCGCTGTTGTGGTCTCATTCTCCAACCCACAAAATCTGAATTTATGCGAGTAAACTCCTCCGATCAAAATTCCCACAATTTCAAAATGAGCTCCAAAGAGGAGCTATCGCATCTAGGTTCCCCATTCACCACTATGAGTGCCTTCCTCAACTCTCTTGATATCCTTCATAAGCTTGGTGGCCTCCTTGACTTGCTACCCTCGTATAAATCATTGTTCCTCCTTAAAGTCTTCTTCAACATTCTACGCATCCTATTTTCAAATATCCTATCCTTCTAGAGTATTTATAAGATTAGTATAAAATATAGGCTCGTCACGTGACTCGAAAATTCAAAAAATATATAAAGTTTTACAAAAAAACAATAAGAGGAAATCAGATATGGGGACACGATGTTATCACTTTTTCCTCTTTTTGAAAAATTCAAAGGTTTAAATCAATAATGCATAATAAAATTTTTAAAGATTGCTCCAATATAAAAGGGAAATATTAATTGCATTGAATAAATGATGGCTTACAGAGTTTATATTCTCTTTAGATGTAAAAGTTTTTTCATAGGAAAATCTATAAAAACTAAAAAAAAAAAATTGGTGGTCTATATGTTTTGACATCAACCTTAATAATTTCAAAAAATATTCAAATCTTATGTTTATAATATAATTCCAGTTATAAAATATTTCTCTAGGCTTGATTAATTCATACGTGCTCTTCCTTTAAATTTGTTTGTTTTAATTTCGTATATCCGATTAATCTTCTTAAAAAAACGTAATTCTTACCAAAATGTTGATGCATTATTATTATCGTCAAAGATTCGATCCCAGAAATAAAGGTGAAAAATTTTATGTTGGCAAACAATACTGTTAGTCAGCATTTCTGTTCACTCCCCACCGCGTGAAGGTAGGGGAGCATGGATTTTAGGGGAGCAAAGATATGAAAAAAAGAATGAATAAAAGAAGGAAGAAATAGAAAAAAAGAGACAAAGATATGAAATATAAGAAAATATAATAATTGTGTATATCTTAAGACTTAACGATTATGGGGTTCCAACACATATACATTTGTAACCATATAAAAAAATATAATATAGTAAAATTTATTGATAATGATGATGGTATCGTGTCTATATGTTTTTGGTCGATGTAGTGTCGTTTTTTTGATTTCATTTCCTTGCTCGTAACTTGCCGTAAATAACTGGAAATAAAACGTGTAAATTGGAAGTATAAATAAAATTTACTGATGATGATGATGGTATTGTGTCTATGATGTTTTTGGTCGATGTAGTGTGTTTTTTTGTTTTCATTTTCTTGCTCGTAACTTGCCGTAAATAACTGGAAATAAAACGTGTAAATTGGAAGTATAAAATAAAATTTACTGATGATGATGATGGTATCGTGTCTATGATGTTTTTGGTCGATGTAGTGTCGTTTTTTTGATTTCATTTCCTTGCTCGTAACTTGCCGTAAATAACTGGAAATTAAACGTGTAAATTGGAAGTATAAATAAAATTTACTGATGATGATGATGGTATCGTGTCTATGATGTTTTTGGTCGATGTAGTGTCGTTTTTTTGATTTCATTTCCTTGCTCGTAACTTGCCGTAAATAACTGGAAATAAAACGTGTAAATTGGAAGTATAAAATAAAATTTACTGATGATGATGATGGTATCGTGTCTATGATGTTTTTGGTCGATGTAGTGTCGTTTTTTGATTTCATTTCCTTGCTCGTAACTTGCCGTAAATACTGGAAATAAAACGTGTAAATTGGAAGTATAAATAAAATTTACTGATGATGATGGTATCGTGTCTATGATGTTTTTGGTCGATGTAGTGTCGTTTTTTTGATTTCATTTCCTTGCTCGTAACTTGCCGTAAATAACTGGAAATTAAACGTGTAAATTGGAAGTATAAAATAAAATTTACTGATGATGATGATGGTATCGTGTCTATGATGTTTTTGGTCGATGTAGTGTCGTTTTTGAATTCATTTCCTTGCTCGTAACTTGCCGTAAATAACTGGAAATAAAACGTGTAAATTGGAAGTATATATAAAATTTACTGATGATGATGATGGTATCGTGTCTATGATGTTTTTGGTCGATGTAGTGTCGTTTTTTGGATTTCATTTCCTTGCTCGTAACTTGCCGTAAATAACTGGAAATAAAACGTGTAAATTGGAAGTATAAAATAAAATTTACTGATGATGATGATGGTATCGTGTCTATGATGTTTTTGGTCGATGTAGTGTCGTTTTTTTGATTTCATTTCCTTGCTCGTAACTTGCCGTAAATAACTGGAAATTAAACGTGTAAATTGAAAGTATAAAATAAAATTTACTGATGATGATGATGGTATCGTGTCTATGATGTTTTTGGTGGATGTAGTGTCGTTTTTGATGAATTAACTTGAAGCTACAGAATTTAATACGTCCTGATATACGACATTAAGAGTAAATACTCTATTATCATTCAAAAGTGTTCCCTGGTATTTTGTAGGTAATATTTTTATTTTCATATTTTTTTTAAATCTGCAACGTGTTAGAGCGACATAGAGCTGACCATGGGAAAACACAGGTTCAGGAAGAAAGAGGCCGACATTGTCGAATGTTTGACCTTGACTTTTATTTATAGTGATAACAAAAGCAGGAATTATAGGAAATTGGCGTCTTTTTAATATGAAAGGCAACCGGGAATCGCTCGGGGAAAGAACAATTCGAGGAATAAAAACGCGATGGCCATTATGCGTCCTTGATAATATTTCAGAATCTATGAAATTATCATGTAAATTTTTGATAAGAAGTCGTGTCCCATTGCATAAGCCTCTGCTGGGATTCATGTTACGAAGAAGCATTATTATTGTCCCAACTTTAAGATTTAAAATATGAGGAGGCATTCCTGATGAGGTTTGAGAATGAAGAAATTCAATGGGGAAATTAAGTAAATCCTCAGGATTATCTGTTTGTATAGAATCGGCGCTAAAATATATCTTAGAATTTCCTGGTAGTTTTTGAATAATTTCGTTATTTAAATTTAGGGCTATGTTATTTTTAGTGGTTAATATAATTTTTTTTGAAAATAGGTTAATATCAGATATTTGTATGGAGTCTCCATATATTGATTTGATTAATGAATTTTCTAATAATGAATTTGGGATAACAATCGAATCTGGAGGGAGTAAAGGATTGGAAACATTTGATAAAGATTCTCCAACATTCAAAAGCCAGGAATTATACTCAACATCTTCAGAAGATAACCGTATATTTTCATTCAGGTGGATAACTTTAAAATAAACCCATAAATCAGAAGACTTAAGACACGATTCAATAATATATGCTTTTGAACTGTTTGGAATGACAGGTAAAGTTTGCCTAAAATCGCCGCCCAATAATATAACTTTACCACCGAATGGGAACTGTGTTTGCATTATATCTTTAAATAATCTATCGATACAGCGTAAAGCGTATTTAGTCATCATTGTGGCTTCGTCGATAATAATTAATTTGGACCTTTTAATAACAGTAGCATCAGGGAAATGAAGACTCATGCGAGATACAGTGTTATCAACAATCGGATATGGTAATTTAAATCAACTATGTATTGTTCTACCCCCTTTTAAAAGAATAGCGGCAATGCCTGTTGTTGCAAACGGTAAAACTATTTGGTTGCGTCCTCTAATGTAGCACATTAGGGTATTATACAAAAAAGTTTTTCCCGATCCACCTGCACCATCAATATAAAAACAACGCTGAGGAAAATCATTATTTTCGATAGATTGAACGATTAAATCAAAGGCTGATTTTTGTAAAAAATTTAATTTAGTAATTAGTTTCAATGCCTCAGCTGCCTCAAGATCATTATTATGAAAATCATCCTGAGCTATTAAAGTAAGAACAGGCAAATTGAAATTACTACAACGAAAACCATGGTCGTGCAATACTTTTTCTATATCTGATAAGGCCATATTAATTGCAATAGAATCTGTATGGGTATGTGCGAAATCTTCTATCATACATTTTTTAAATTTTTCCCAGAGGTTATTTGGATTTTCTGGCTGACAAAAAATACAAATAAAGGCAAAAGATTGACGCAACTGTATGGGCATTAAAAATGTTGACGCTTCTTCCATAAATGCTTCCCATTCCTTGTCATCAACCAATAAATTTCTTTTAAAAGCCGCCTCTTTAAAAGTATTATATAAAACTCCATTTACAGTTCTCAAATATTCAAAACTTGTGGCGCCAACAACATGAAGTAATAGTAAACGTAGGAAAAATCTCTCGCCGGATTTAGGATCAACAGTATACATCCTTGAAATTATATTGTTTTGTCTTTGTCTAAGTTTCCACTTATTAGCGCTGAAAGTATAATGATATGGTATAGTGACATATAAATATTGACGGGCATTAACATCATTTTTATTTAATTCAAACCAGGCAGTTAATGTAGTATTTCTGCTGGCAGATTTCTCTAATGCCTGACGTTCTTGTCCTTCTATAAAATATACCGGTTGATGAAATGGCAAGTGTATTGCTAATCGATTTATACCGTGAGATCGATCATGCATACGATTTTCTAATAATCTCCACATGGCTTCACATGCACTTACATATCGGGCATTTATATGCATTCTAATTTCATCATGAGATTGAAGCGAATTAGTTTTAAGATCTATATTAGCGCAATCGTATCCTTTGTAAACGTACTTAAAAATATATTTGACGGATTTTATTGATGTACATATTTCAACATTTATGTGTGCATTAAATTTTAATAATAGATATTTGTTATAAGGGATTACGTATCTATTATAAACTGGCTTACCTCCGACATGAATAAAACCCTTATCTCTACGTTGATAAAATGGATATCCATTCGCATTGTGTTGAGATTCTTTTTGAAAATCTTTCGGAAATTTTTTTGTACACGAACCATTTTCCATGCATGGTGAGTGAGGATTCAAAATACCACATGGTCCATGTATCATAAAGCGAGTTACAATATCATATAATCGGGGTTCGATATTTTTATCTGAAATTTCAGCTCGAACAAAATTATCTATACACTCGGTTGTTTCAATTTTATTATTTTCGCTTAATATAATGAGCAGATGGGCATGAGGTAATCCTCTCTTTTGAAATTCTATGGTATAAACATACGCCGAACATTTGCCAAAGAAATCTTTTTTAATAATATCGTGTAATAATTCAGATAATTTTAAATGAAAAACTCTAGCTAATAAATCAGGTCTATCCGAAGGGTTCTGTCCTTTATAAAGATTTTCTTTAATTTCCCTCCAAATGGGATTGCATGTAAAAGTTATAAATAAATCAGGCTTACCAAACTTAGAAACGATAGCCATAGCATCATGATATCGTTCACGCATGTTTCTTTCGGACCCCTGAAAAGAAGAAGGCAAAATAACGGCTCTTCCTAGAGGTAAATTACTATTATCATTTGCTTTAGAAATATGATCCATAAGCCCTGAATATTCCTCTACACGTAATTTTTATTGGTTTAATTTTATATAATTCAAATTATTAGCTTCGACTTGGAGGTAAGAATCAACAACATATTGATAAAATAATCGCCCAGCATAAATGCGGGGCCCCCTAACACCAAAGGGTGTTAGAGGACCCCGTGGCCACGCCGGGCCATCTTTTTTATTGTTTATGTATATATCCTTTATAATCTATGTATAATATATATGTATAAGTATTATTATATTTATAATATTAATTGTTGCGCATTGATACAATATGGCGAGTTATAATGGCCGTTATATAAAAATACAGGTTTGTTAAGACCCTGGAAAATTTCTGGGATAGAACGGCGTATTGATCGTGGAATAATAATAAATTAGCAATAATAATTTGTATTCCCGATCGCCGTATATATATATACGCGGGACTTTATTTCTGGCCGTGTATTCCAGAATTTTCCAGGGGTGAAAGGAAATATATATCAGGGGGGGGGAGAACAATATATATATTGATCAGAATGTTTATATTAAAAAGAAGGAATTTTTAAAATATACATATTATATGCCGCGGGGTTAATATACAACACTGGTATTATAAACCAATTCGCGATATAAGTTTTAATAACTAATAATATAAGTTTTATAACTAATAGTTTTTGTGTTATTGGCCGGGATGGTGTTCCTCGGGGAGAAGGGTATCTTCTTCGTAGGCTGTATCGATTGACAGATCCAACGTTTGGTCAAACAGGTTTGGGTCGAAGTTACGTTCCATGTTTGATAGGTCGTTTATGAAGTCGCTAGCGTCGGCTTCGTCTGTCATGTACAAAGGGGTTGATGCGCAGGGGACTTGTCCAAATGTTTTCTCTATTACTGGGGATCCAGGTTCGGCTGGGCGAGTCGGCTAGCTTGTCCTCCGAGGCTATCCATGTTAAGTTCCTTGAGAGGTGGACGAAGTTGTAGAACCCAAGGGATAAGATGATTCTTGTCACTAAGTGTTCGCAGGCTGGGGATTTAGATCCTCCTTTTTTTATAATGGTGTATGCCACCTGACTGTCTGTTACTATGGCCGGGATAGTCTTGAATTTGTTAAGAGAATATTTACATCCCACCCATATTGCCAGCAGTTCTTTTTGGTTTATGTGCGGCGTTACCATCTCCGGGATTCCTAGCGCGTGCTTTGCTTCGTCGAAAGAAAAGGAATATCCCGTGGCGAAGGCGTCGGACACCCCTATATGGGTCGAGGACGCGTCGACGTGGAGGATGGTATTAACGACAAAGGTAAAGGGGAAGGGTTTCATTAACGCTTCTATAGCCGCTACTGCCTTCGGGTATGCTTTGAGATAGTCGATAGGCGGCGGGTCGTCCGGGTTTAGCATCGTATCGTAATAGGGGTCGAATACCCTCGATAATCCCGTGATAGAATACGTATAATGGTTGAAAATTCCCAGTACTTCTAGTGCGACGTTGCGCTCTATTGTCATTGACTGTAGGGAATGTTTGTATAGAATTAATTGGCAGAATTTAAGACGGGATCGGTTTTCTTTGTCGACTCCTGCTGTTTTATTCGCGAAATTAATGTCTATACCTAAATAGGAGATCTTATTGGCGGGCGATAGGACAGATTTGGACTCATTGATCCGAAGTCCCCAAGCCGATATCATATCGAGGAGGGCGATAGTGTCGTTGAAGACATATTGCTCGTCCGCATGGAAGATGATGATATCATGAGGTACACTGAATAGTTAGCCCTTTTCACCGATTTAGCGCAAAGGTCTAACACGATATTCTGCAACGCATATGGCGAGAATCCTGCCCCCATCGGGAGGGTCTTATAGCGAAATTTCGAATTTACGGTCGCGAAGCCGAAAAACCTCCTCCTGCTCTGGGCCAGTGGGATCGAATAGAAAGCCGTTTTGAGGTCAATCTTCGTTGCCACTGTTGCGGACGCTAGCATTGGAGCGATCATGGGTATGGTTTTCAGCCTAAAGGGATACTTAATGAAGTTCCGCGACACGTTTGAGAAATCCGAAATGATTCTCGGCGTCCCATCGCTCTTCGGAATAAGGAAGAGGGGCGAGCAGAATGTATCGTCAGTTAACTCGATCACCGACGCTTCAACCAGTTGGGCCACGATTGGGAGATATTTGTTGGCTAGCCTAATAAACCGATTTTTGTAATATCCCCCATTGTTTTCTATGGCTTGGTTGTCTAGTTTGGGGCAGAAGCCCCTGAGCGCGATTCTCCTTGTGAAGGGTGATTGGTCTGGATGAGGTTTGAGGATAGAGGATGCGAGCTTGAGGCGAGCCGAAAGATTTACGTTCAGGCTATCGGTGGTGTCGTATCCCATTAGTCTTAGGAGCTTGTAGAATTTCCCGATCGATCCGCTGCCGGCCGCCGGCGCTGGCGGGGTCATGGTAGTGTGATCGTGGGGCGATATTCTAGTCGCAAAGAGGTTAGCCATGAGGATGGGGTCACCTCCTACATCGAACTGCTGGACATCCGGTAAGTGGTCGTCGCCGTCGCTCTCGCTATTTGATGGTACGTCATCCATGTCCATGGTCTTGTCCTTCGTTCCTTGTCCGAGTGAAAACTTCTGGCGCCTGAAATCGCGGATCCATAGTCGTAATTCGTTTTGTCCTATGGTTGTGATCCAGGTATCCACCCAAGGAGCCAAGACCTCCCCTACCCCCAGCTCCAGTGTTGAGGGGGGGAGCGAATCTAGGATATCACCGACCCGTCGGAGGTTTCTTGCCCCGTCTGGCGTCTTTGGATTTTGGGACGTACTCCATCTGGTAATCTCTGCATGGTCGTGGTTGGCTCAGACTGTTGTTGTTGCTGGGCGATGCGGGTTTGGTTGAACCCAGTCTTCCGCCCGGCTCCGACTGGGTTCCTAAGAAAGGGCTGCTCGGTGATCGTGGGCGGGGGTCCCAGGAATTTGAGGACTTGTGACTGGGATTCCCATTTGGTTTGTTCCCAGCCCCACGCAACGGCTTTAGCGTATATTTGAGCTTTAGCTGCAATATCACGTAATTTGTAGGACATGTTCTCCCTGAGTTCTTCCACAGCTATTTTCAACGATGGGAATTCATGGGCGTCTCTACCTTTGGCTTGATAACCTGCTGTGATTTCGGCTACGTGTATAGCGTTCACATAATGCTTGGCTACTCGAATGAGCTTTCGCTTGTCTGTTTCCGCGTGGATGCTGAGATTTTTGATCTCTTCTTCTGTTAGGAGGCATTCCATCGATTCCGTGGTAAGGTCTACTAACGGAACGGGAGGCAGCACTAAGGTAGGGAAAACCAACGGCGTATGTTTAGGCTGGGGGTTTGGGTCCATTGGGTTTACGTAGGATGTGCTTGCTTTATCCTCCTTGCTTCCCGACATTTTCTGGAGGGCATTTAAGATCATTTCCATTTTGTTTTCCATGAGGTCCATCTTTCCCGTGGATTCCATGGCTATGGTGTCTAGTCTTATTTTAACTGGATCCAGGTCGGCTTTGAGTTGATTTCTTGCTGATTCAGACATGGCTCTCGTGTTATCTGACGGTGCAGAATTGTTTCTGAGGCGTCTGGTGTTATTATTATTACGATCTTCAATCTTTAGTCTTACGTTCCCCGAAATTTCTGGGATAGAACGGCGTATTGATCGTGGAATAATAATAAATTAGCAATAATAATTTATATTCCCGATCGCCGTATATATATATACGCGGAATAGGATTAAAAATGTTAGCACGAATAGCTAACCTTGATATTTTAAATTATAACATAGTTATATTTGATCTTGTTCCCTTGTTAAATGGCCCATTAAATTTCATATCCGTATGCCATCCATGATCACCATAAGGAAATAGAAAAGGATACACCATAGTATCTAAATTTGGGCTAAGAATATTTAAGATAAATCATCATTACGTGGATAAACTTTAACATCACGTTGAAAAGGTGGTTCTCCATCATCGTTATTAAAAATCATTGCTACTTCATCAATAGTAGGAATATTAAATCTTCTTCTATCATTAGCACGATCACGGCGAAAAATCATATTTACCTTTGATATAGGACGGTTTTCTAACCTAGCTTTCATTTCTTCGGCCTTCTCAACCTCACCCAATGTTTTAAAGCTAATAGCATATGGATTTATTTGACGAATATCAAGTTTTTTTAATAAATGAATATCACAGGCTGAATTTTCTTTTAAAAGTACACGATTTTCAATAGCCTGAGATGTTTCAAGAACATATAATTGTGCATATTTTGGGGAAACGCCATTAGGAGGATATAAATGTGAAGTTCGATGATAAATTTGACCATGAACCCTAAAACAGTATGGGCCTTTATTTAATAAATTATCATTTTTAGCCCCCATCGAGGCAAAGGCCAGGGAGCTGTTGTATGAGCGGATATTCTGAGAGAAATTTTTATAATAATGATTGTCTAAATTTGAAAGTAAATTTTTTAAAAAATCTGGATATTGTAGAGAAGGCAATAAAACATGACCTTTGTGGCAGCAATTTTTAAATTTTCCATCAGATGGTTTTTCAGAAATAAAATTTAATGCATTACAATATGGGCATAGAATATTTAATGGCCCACAGTAATGTTCAACTTGTTCTTGATTTTCAGTATCTTCAAGATGATTGGATGTTGAAGCAAATTGTTTATTTCCAGTATCTTCAAGATACTTGGATGTTGTAGGATTAGGACTTGGTTCGTTACTTTTCTTGCTACGACAAAGTGCCTGTCTCTTTCTAGCTTTCTCCTTATGTTGATTTATTATTAAAATTTAAAAATATAAGAATTACTTAATTTTATAAAAATAAGTTTAGTTTAAAATATTTATTATTGTGGACATAAAATAAAATAACTAAATATATACTTCATAAACATATTTATAAATATAATGGAAAATATTAGAATACCCCCTCACCTAATAAATATATATTTCGGAATCACATCTTATAAGATAGGAAAAATCTGATTCCTCGTCATTCTTGA